CTTGTTTAGGCTATCAAGAGAGCCTTGAGGCACGACGAGGGGCATGATGGAGAACACCGCTTGGGAGGAGATGACCGACCTAACAAGTGTCGTACGACCAATGGTAGTGATGTTTTGTCCCTCCCAGGTCACCAGTTTCCCGGCTGCCTTATCCTCAAGATATTGGAAATCCACCTTCTTTAACTGCCAAACTGAAAGTGGTAAGCCAAGGTATTTTACCGGGAAAGAGGCCCGTGTTGCCGGCATACTCTCAAGGATTTGCTCAAGATCGAGGTGGTTGCAACGAATAGGCACAGCCGAGCTTTTCTGGAAGTTGGAGCAAAGGCCTGTCACGTCCCCAAAGCCTCTCAGAATAGAGGCGAGATTGCCGATGTCCCGCTTGATAGGAGCCACAAAGACCGCTGCGTCATCCGCATACAGGGAGGTACGCACCATGGACCCGCGACCACGGATCTTGTGGAGGAGTCCCTTTCTCGTCGCCAAGTCGAGGATCTTGTGCAAGGGGTCAACTGCCAGAACAAAGAGGAGGGGGGAAATGGGGTCTCCCTGCTGGAATCCACGACCATGCTTGACCGGAGGACCAGGCAACCCATTTAACATAATCCGAGATGAAGAAGATGATAATAACGCAGCAATCCAAGCCCGGAATTTTGGAGGGAAGCCCAATCGTTGGAGAAGTTCCAGGATGTATCCCCACTTGACCGAGTCAAGCGCCTTCTTTATATCAAGCTTGAAGAGGAGTGCGGGCGTTTTGCATTTGTGAAGGCGCCGGGCGAAATTTCGAACATACATGAAGTTGTCATGGATACTTCTCCTTTTGATGAATGCACTCTGGGCATTGGAGACAAGATCGTCCATGTGGGGTGCAAGCCGGAGCGAGAGAATCTTGGCAATGATTTTAGCGATGGCGTGGATGAGGCTAATGGGCCTATAGTCAGAGATTTCTTCCGCGCCATCCTTTTTTGGCAATAGAACAACGTTGGCCGAATTTAGCCACTGAAGGTTGAAGGTGTGTAGAGAATCAAAACGTTGAATGACCTCCATGATCGAATGCTTGATGGTTCCCCAACACTTCTTGAAGAACATCCCCGTGAATCCGTCCGGGCCCGGCGCCTTATCACTAGGCATCTCCTTAATAGCCTCCCAAACCTCGTCCTCGGTGATGGCGGAGTCGAGGTCTTGCAAAGCGTGATTCTCGATGCCCAATTCCTCCCAATTGAAATCCTTGTTACACGTGCTTGCCCGCCCCATTCTGGAAACCCGAACATTCTGGAAACGTGGAATTCCAGACACCTCGCTCCCCAGCCACATCCCCTCCACGTCTCACCCCCAATTCCCACACCAACCCTCACAGAGAATTAAAAGCGATGTCCCCAGCAAGCAAATCTGGCGACCCTAGAGACACCTCCTCACCGCCCTAGCAACCATCTTCTCCGGATGTGGGTGGAAGAGAACTAGAGATATGATATCATGGACTCATCAACAACGGTGACACACCACATGGAACTAACATGTACTATAATGCTCATGAAAACATGAACTGATGGTATGCAGCAATAATAAAATGTAAAAGAAGCTTTTGGTGCCACACTAGATGTCTTCATTGGGTTAGCTTGGCGGTCTCAAAAATCTCAATATTTCACAACTATTTTTTGAGTGTGCGCGTACTTCCTCCGTTTCTTTTTAGTTCACATATAAGGTTTGGTCAAAGTCAATTTTTTGTAGAATTTGACTAACTTTATATTAAAAAATATAGACATTCACAATATGAAATCAATATTATCAGATGCACCATGAAACATACTTTCATACTATATAGTTTTAGTATTGTATATGTTTATATATTTTTTATATAAATTCAGTCAAACTTTGTGTAGTTTGACTTTGACCAAATCTTATATGCAAAGTAAAAAGAAACGGAGGAAATATATGTGATATCTGGTGCACATGATTCCATAAATCACACCGGGGGGAGAAACTCACTGGCCACCTGAAACTGTACATCTGCACGCGTGCAGGTCCTCTGGGACCACAGTTCATGAAGAGCTTGAATTTGAACTTTCCATCCCAACCAAGGTTTGGCTTGGGGATTGTGATGCTAATACGCATACAAGTTCAGTGTGTAAAACTTGACATGTTTTTCACGGTGTTTTGCATGCCCTACTAGGGAATATTTGAATGTGTTTGCAGTAGCTTGGCCTGCATGTGCATTTTTCACCAACGTACAAATGGATGAGAAATGCAAAGATGGAGACATATTTTTTTGAAATAGAGAGTTGTATTAATTAAGTAGAGAAAATATAGTTCGTACAATCGTGCAAGGCCTCGCTCAATACGTAGGTTGGCACTGTGTCTTGCATAACCCCACCACGCAACTCTCTACGCCCCAACTGGGCAAGACTATGAGCTAACCTATTTCCCCAGCTCATAGTCTTGCCCAGTTGGGGCGTAGAGAGTTGCGTGGTGGGGTTATGCAAGACAATTGCAAAGACGGAGACGTATTGGAGCTGCAAAAATCTCTAATGCCACTGCAAGTCAAATTAAATGTGTCCGTGTACCATTGCCATAATGCTTTGCTAGCTACTAAGCCGTCCAGAGGAGGAGGATCTGCCCTGGTTCAGCTAGGTCGCAGTGACTTGGATTCTGAATTTTGGAGGGACTGGAGCCTGCTTTCCAATATGCACTTCGCCGGAAAGTACTCACACCGGTGACAACTCTCTTCGGATAGATACGGAATTTTGGAGGCTAGTCGAGGTGCCATAGTGGAACCACAGACCGATCCAGTAGTCGGGACGTGCTCGATGAAATCAATAGCATGATTTTCATAGCTTTAGTGTGACTAGATGATGTCCAAGAAGTTCTCAATGCCTCCCATTTCTATGAGTAGCTTACCGAAACTAGACATAAATACAATGAGTGGCATTCTCTATTAGGGTGGTAAGACGGAACACTAGGCAAGTGGCATGGGAGAAGGAGGAAGATTCTATATATGAGAATTATTGATAGGCACGTCTTTCATTATGAGGTACCACGTTGAGGAAGGTGAGCAAGCACTATCTCTCAAAGAAAAAAATGTCTGAATTCTGGAGTTTTGTCATTGCACAAGATACCAAAATAATTATTTATTTGTGAAAGTATTTTAGTTATATAGTAGTACACACATGTATAAATAAATTTAGTTTTACATTGACATTTAAAATATTTAGGTCACATTATTACAATACAATTACCATTAATTGGCCAAAAATGCATACAAGTGACGAGCAGGCCGGCCGGCACTCACCACTGGCATTCCACAAAACACATACAAAGACTTAGACTCTGGTGTGCTGATTTCACCACAAGGAATCTAACCATCTGAACCGTTCTACCTCAACAATTGTGTTACTAATCTTTTTAACGACGTATATTGGGTAGGGCTCATCACGGGCGCGACTATGTGTCGTTAAGGTCTCGCCCGAAGCGGGCAACAATGGGCCTGCCTAACGGGCTGGAGATTCATAGGCCTTAGGCGCTTGTTTATTCACAATCTTTTAGTTTTTTTTCTTTTCTTGTTTACTTGTTTTTTATTTTTTAATATTCTATATATATATATATTATAAAAATTAATTTGCATAAAATTTTAAATAAATGTTATGGATGCATTTGAAAACTAGTAAACATTTATAGAAAAATGTTTCTTATGTATAGAAAAAAGTACAACGTGTATGAAAAAGTAGACATCAAAACACACACACACAGAGATATATATATACACATCAAAAAATGTTTCTTATGTACTCATCAAAAAATATTTTTATACACATTTTACTATGTGTATAGAAAACGTTTCTGGTGTATAGGAAAAATGTACAATGTATGAAAAAAATTGACATCAAAACATATGTTTGAAAAAAATATCAATGATGTAAAATAGAAATGTTAAATGTGTATAAGAAAAATGTTTTTTATGTATACGAAAATATACAATCTGTATGAGAAAATAAACATCAAAACATAAATCTGGGAAATATTAATCATGTACTTGAAAAATGTTAAACGTTTCTTACGTATACAAAAAAATACAATATATATGGAAAAAAGTAGACATCTAAACATATATCTCAAAAATGTGAAACATGTATCTGAAAAATGGTTAACGAGTATAAAAATAATTTTCCTACTATATATGAAAAGTGCACAATCTGCATAAATAAAAAGTAGCTCTCAAAAAAATATAAAAACAATTAATCATGTATTTAAAAATTGATAAAGGTATATAAATGCTTTTATATGTATAAATAATGCATAATGTTTATGAAAAAAGAAAATATACACGAAAAAAAATATTTTAGAAGTACGAAATGTTTGATTGAAGAAAATAAACATGCAAAAAATGTAGTTGATGTATATGATATGAATGTAGACTTTTGTTAAATAAAAGAAAACCGAGAAACAAACGAAGAAAGCCAAAAGATAAGAAAAAGATCATAGAAAACAAAGAAAAAGCTAGAGAAAACCGAAAGAAAAAGAAAAATAAAAAACTCACAGAGAACAGAAAGAACTGAGGAAATCACTGCATGACAGCCCAGAGTAATCGTGCTACAGTACTGGGCCGTCCCATAACTGTAGGACAAGGGGAGAGGAGGGTACATCATCTTCGTGTCCTCCGTCTGCCTGCACTTGGGTTGGGCTTTGGGTGCAGGCTGGTGGCGAACGCCCACTCGGCCCAGGGGTCCAGCCTGGTCTGGAGGCTTCCCGACCCGAACGTTCGGGAAACGTGGGATTCCAGTCTTCCAGAGGCCTCCACGTCCCGCCCCCAATTCCAATTCCCACACCAACCCCACCCCGGCCGAGAATTAAAGCATCTCCGGCGAGACCCCAGCACCCACCTCCAGCTCCTCCTCCTCCTCCCCCCGCCTCCGGCGATCCAGGTAACCTCGCCCAACACACCCGCGCGGTCGATTCCCGCTCTATCTCGGCGAGCGGTGCTCATACCGCCGTGATTCGCTGCCGCAGAGATGGAGCGCGGGCGGGGCGGGAGGGACGGCCCCTTCGGCGGATTCGGCCGCCTGGGGGGCGCCCCGATGCCCGGCCTCTTCGGCGGGGGCAGGGACCCCTTCGACGACCCCTTCTTCACGCAGCCCTTCGGGGCCAGGATGGGCGGCCCTGGAGGAATGTTCGGGCCGATGGGCGGCGGCCCCGGCATGTTCGGCGCCTTCGGGCCCGGGGACGGGTTCCTTGAGCAAGCTCCCGCGAGGAGCGGTGCTGTCATCACGGAGATTGATGAGGACGAAGAGGGGGGCGACGGGGAGCGCGGCGGCCGGGAGGCGAACCGCGGGGCATATGTTCAGGAGCCGGATGATGGGAATGATGGTAGGGCTGGGATGAGATTGGTTCAGTTTCTTCACCATTCATGTGCTGTTTCCTGGGACGCCATGTGGCTCTGAGTTTTTCGTGTGATGTGTTTATGTGTTTGTAGGGATGCAGGGGGGTCAGGTCCAGCTGCGGCGTGATCCCAGCAGGGCGAACGGTGGCGGCCAGCCGCAGTCGCGTTCGTTCACCTATCAGAGCTCCACGGTGACTTATGGTGGGATTAATGGAGCCTATTATACCGCTTCCAAGACCCGGAGGAGTGGCAGCGATGGGGTAGGCAAATTACTGATATGGGACTAATTCACTTGATTCGTTTGCTTTGTGGTAATCAGAACTGATACTGATTAGTGTGTTTCGTGCAGATTACTGTCGAAGAAAGCAAGGAAGCAGACACTACGACTAAAGAGGCCACTCATAGGATCTCCAGGGGAATTCATGATAAGGTAGCCAGATGGCCCCTTCATATGTTCATCGACCTACTAAATAATTAAGTAATTAAAGTCATATTGAGTAAGTCTATGCACACTGGATTGAAACATGTCATATTGGTAAATTTTAGAGCCCAGTCCCTTTTATGAGACAGAGTTGGATTATCAGATAAACCAATTGAATCAGGAATGATGACACATATAACTTGTACTATCAAAAGCTTAGGTTATATCTAGTGAATATGAGTTTGCAGCTTTTTTTCGTTGTATTGATCAATTGAACCAGCAGTGACATGTATAACTTGTCTGTAAAGCTGGGGTTATATATCCCCTGGATTTTGGTTCCTGGCTCATTTCTTAATTTATTCTAGGGACACTCGGTAACAAGGAAGCTGAAATCAGACGGGAAGGTGGACAGTACACAGATACTGCACAATCTCAATGAAGGTTTGTTTTGTACTTCTAGCTTTCCCTGCTCTGATGTGCCCACAGTACACTTCTTATATGTCATTAACAATATTTTCCTATACAGATGAGTTACCTGGATTTGAAGAATCATGGAAGGGCAATGCTGGACAACACTTACCAGGCTGGAACCAAAATGCTGGTATATCTAATGGTGACAACTCTGGTAAGCAATATCTATCTCTTGTTTCGTCGTAACATGCACAAATTTGATGCCATCTAGAATGGTGCCAACTACACAGAGATATTGCAGTATTTCTTTCTCTGGCAGAAAAATTATCTCCTGCATCTTAAAATGGGCTGGAAATGACAAACAAAATGCATTCAAGTAGAAAGGGGTCAGATTGGACATTTCCATGTGAACAGCTTCCTAGTGGGGCACCAATTACAATTGCAGTGCTGGAGAACAATTGTTAGACATTATTGATTGCTCAAATATGAAGTTGGACTGAGAAGTTGGACATGTGAAATGTTTTTGGTGCCTGTTCAGCAAATGTTAACATGACCCGACTTGAAACTGAAACTAGTTACTCCCTGGAGGCTGGATGATCCTCGAAGGGGTGATTATTTGGTTCTATGAGGTCTGTCTTGATGGGATGTAAAGACTAGGTCCAGTTCCAGTTTTTACCTTAGCTTTGACTTTTGTTTACTGGGTTTTCCGCGGACTTGAAAGATCAAATGAAGTGCCAGATAACCTGTTCACAAGTGTTGATGTGGCTGTTGTCATTTTCATCAAGTATGACAAACTGACTGATGGGAAATTAAGCATTGATGGAGTATAACTGTGTGTTATGGTCGAATGTACCAAGATAATTAGATGAATATACACTCGCGGGCCTGATAACAAACAGGCCATTGGTGCACAAATTTGCTGTTCTGCCTAGCATTACAACTACAATTTGCGATTAAACGAACACCATGTGGTTCTTTAACATGTTGATTGGCTTGTACTCGCTGAGATGATTTGTCTAATACCATCATGGCACATCATTTATATATTTGTGAGCATACTCATTTGCATGGCGCTGCCTTCTCTAACCATCAAGTATGTACTGATTATTCACAACAGGAAACCGTGGTACCAACGGTGCCAGGCAGCCTGCACAGAACTGGGCGCTCCCCGGAATGCAGCAACAGCGTGATCCAAGGAGGCACGACAACGGGCAGCCAAAGCCAAAGTCATCGCGGATCATCCCAATCTCCTGAAGGGTGAAGAGAGGCCCGATGAGGCGTGATGGCCGGGTCAAAATCACAACTCATCCCATGATCTCGTGCAGAGGGAATGGCCGAATCCACGGAGCAAATGAATAAAGCACTGCTGCTTTGCGCAAGCAGTTCAGCTTCGAGTGTACGTTCCCCTAGCTAGATACGAGTAGGAAGCTAAGCTGGAAGTGATGGAGGCCTGGAGGTCCGGATGTGATCTGCTATGTGCCACCGCTCGGCCGCGCCCTGTACCCTGTATCGTGAATACATTCTGTGATTGAGTCTATTGTGTTTACTGTCTGATCTGCCTGTAAAGATATGCTATAAGCTCTACTATCTGTAATGTCCCTTGGTGCCGGGTTACACGAATAACCCTAGAAGAATACAAGCTGTGTGCCTGCAGTAGTATTCAGCTTCCTGTGGATGGTTGCTTAATAAAACTGGTATTTTCTGTGTTAAGCTTGTGCACTGGTGCTTGGCTGAGGGTGTCCAATCAATTCTTCACGAATCTTGACGCGTTTTAACAGTTTTTGTGTGCCACGTAGGACTAAACTGGTGTGTGGATATTTATCCGCTCGCGTACACGTTTTTTTTCACCACACGGGGGTTGGTGTGTGGGCGTTTAACAATTTGCCCACACACCAATTTTCACGCACGCAGAAGGGGCTGATGTGTGGGTGTTTATCACTTCGCCCACATGCCCGTCTCCTCGCCCACATCCAAAGCTGACAGTTGTCATGTGCCTTTGCAGGGTACATGACAACTGCCTTAGCTTTGCTTGTAAGCAGATAGTAACTCTTTTTTTACTCGAGTTGTCATGTGTTTTTGCATGGTACATGGCATCTGTCCTATCGTGCACGTAAACAGATGGCAACTCTTTCTCTTTACATGGCAACTGCCCTAGCGTGCTTGTGAGCACACGGCAACTCTCTCTTTCACCCAAACATGTTTTTTTGCCATGCCTTTTTTAGTGCTACACGGCAACTGCCTAGTGTTAGTGGGTGGCAACTCCTAAAGTTTTGAAATCATGGCAACTGCAGTAGACCAGACCATACATGTAAACTGCAGTTGAGCAACCATGGCAATGTTGGGAAATGTTGCAGAAAATAAAAAAATTTCTACGATTTCACCAAGATCCATCTATGAGTTCATCTAGCAACGAGTGATCGGATTGCATCTACATACCTTTGTAGATCACGCGCGAAAGCGTTCAAAGAACGGGGATGAGAAAATCGTACTCGACGTGATCCAAATCACCGGAGATTCTAGCGCCGAACGGACGGCACCTTCGAGTTCAACACACGTACGGTCAGCGTAACGTCTCCTCCTTCTTGATCCAGCAAGGGGGGAGAAAAGGTTGATGAAGATTCAGCAGCACGACGGCATGGTGGTGGATGCAGCAGTCACCGCAGCAGGGCTTCGCCGTTCTTCTGCGAGAGGGAGAGGTGTAGCAGAGGAGAGGGAGGCGCCAAGAGTCAAGGGTCCGGCTGCCCCTCCCTCCCCCCCTTTATATAGGCTCCCCAAGGGGGGGCGCCGGCCCTAGGAGATGGGGTCTCCTAGGAGGGGCGTCGGCCAAGGGTGGAGTGGCCCCCAAGGCAAGTGGGGCGCCTCCCCCCTACCCTAGGGTTTCCAACCCTAGGCGCAGGGGGTGGGCCAAGGGGGCGCACCAGCCCACTATGGGCTGGTTTCCCTCCCCACTTCAGCCCATGGGCCCTCCGGGATGGGTGGTCCCACCCGGTGGACCCCCGGGACCCATCCGGTGGTCCCGGTACAATACCGGTGACCCCCGAAACTCTCCCGATGGTCGAAACTGCACTTCCTATATATAATTCTTCACCTCCGGACCATTCCGGAACTTCTCGTGACGTCCGGGATCTCATCCGGGACTCCGAACAATTTTCGGGTTACTGCATATTCATATCTCTACAACCCTAGCGTCACCGAACCTTAAGTGTGTAGACCCTACGGGTTCGGCAGATATGTAGACATGACCGAGATGGCTCTCCGGTCAATAACCAACAGCGAGATCTGGATACCCATGTTGGCTCCCACATGCTCCTCGATGATCTCATCGGATGAACCACGATGTCGAGGATTCAAGCAACCCCGTATACAATTCTTTTTGTCAATCGGTACGTTACTTGCCCGAGATTCGATCGTCGGTATCCCAATACCTCGTTCAATCTCGTTACCGGCAAGTCACTTTACTCGTACCGTAATGCATGATCCCATGACCAGACACTTGGTCACTTTGAGCTCATTATGATGATGCATTACCGAGTGGGCCCAGAGATACCTCTCCGTCATACGGAGTGACAAATCCCAGTCTTGATCCGTGTCAACCCAACATACACTTTCGGAGATACCCGTAGTATACCTTTATAGTCACCCAGTTACGTTGTGACGTTTGGTACACCCAAAGCACTCCTACGGTATCCGGGAGTTACACGATCTCATGGTCTAAGGAAAAGATACTTGACATTGGAAAAACTCTAGCAAATGAACTATACGATCTTGTGCTATGTTTAGGATTGAGTCTTGTCCATCACATCATTCTCCTAATGATGTGATCTCGTTATCAATGACATCCAATGTCTATAGTCAGGAAACCATGACTATCTGTTGATCAACGAGCTAGTCAACTAGAGGCTTACTAGGGACATGTTGGTGTCTATGTATTCACGCATGTATTACGATTTCTGGATAACACAATTATAGCATGAATAAAAGACAATTATCATGAACAAGGAAATATAATAATAATCCTTTTATTATTGCCTCTAGGGCATATTTCCAACAGTCTCCCACTTGCACTAGAGTCAATAATCTAGTTACATTGTGATGAATCGAACACCCATGGAATTCTGGTGTTGATCATGTTTTGCTCTAGGAAGAGGTTTAGTCAACGGATCTGCTACATTCATGTCCGTATGTACTTTACAAATATCTATGTCTTCATCTTGAACAATTTCACGAATGGAGTTTAAGCGACGCTTGATGTGCCTGGTCTTCTTGTGAAACCTGGGCTCCTTGGCAAGTGCAATAGCCCTAGTGTTGTCACAGAAGAGTTTGATCGGCCCCGACGCATTGGGTATGACTCCTAGGTCGGTGATGAACTCCTTCACCCAAATTGCTTCATGCGCTGCCTCCGAGGCTGTCATGTACTCCGCTTCACATATAGATCTCGCCATGACGCTCTGCTTGCAACTGAACCAGCTTACTGCCTCACCATTCAAAATATACACGTATCCGGTTTGTGACTTAGAGTCATCCAGATCTGTGTCGAAGCTAGCGTCGATGTAACCCTTTACGACGAGCTCTTCGTCACCTCCATAAACGAGAAACATTTCCTTAGTCCTTTTCAGGTACTTCAGGATATTCTTGACCGCTGTCCAGTGTTCCTTGCCGGGATTACTTTGGTACCTACCTACCAAACTTACGGCAAGGTTTACATCAGGTCTGGTACACAGCATGGCATACATAATAGAACCTATGGCTGAGGCATAGGGGATGACACTCATCTCTTCTATATCTTCTGCCGTGGTCGGACATTGAGCTGAGCTCAATTTCACACCTTGCAACACAGGCAAGAACCCCTTCTTAGACTGATCCATATTGAACTTCTTCAATATCTTATCAAGGTATGTGCTTTGTGAAAGACCTATGAGGCGTCTTGATCTATCTCTATAGATCTTGATGCCTAATATATAAGCAGCTTCTCCAAGGTCCTTCATTGAAAAATTCTTATTCAAGTAGGCTTTAATGCTGTCCAAAAGCTCTATATCATTTCCCATCAAAAGTATGTCATCTACATATAATATGAGAAATGCTACAGAGCTCCCACTCACTTTCTTGTAAACGCAGGCTTCTCCATAAGTCTGCATAAACTCAAACGCTTTGATCATCTCATCAAAGCGAATGTTCCAACTCCGAGACGCTTGCACCAGCCCATAAATCAAGCGGTGGAGCTTTCACACCTTGTCAGCATTCTTAGGATCGACAAAACCTTCCGGCTGCATCATATACAATTCTTCCTTAAGGAAACCATTAAGGAATGTCATTTTGACGTCCATTTGCCATATCTCATAATCATAGTATGCGGCAATTGCTAATATAATTCGGACGGACTTCAGCTTCGCTACGGGAGAGAAAGTCTCATCGTAGTCAACCCCTTGAACTTGCCGATAACCCTTAGCGACAAGTCGAGCTTTATAGATGGTAACATTACCATTCGCGTCCGTCTTCTTCTTAAAGATCCATTTGTTTCCTATCGCTCGCCGATCATCGGGCAAGTCTGTCAAAGTCCATACTTTGTTTACATACATGGATCCTATCTCGGATTGCATGGCTTCAAGCCATTTGTTGGAATCTGGGTCCGCCATCGCTTCTTCATAGTTCGAAGGTTCACCGTTCTCTAACAACATGATTTCTAAGACAGGGTTGCCGTACCACTCTGGTGCGGAACGTGTCCTTGTGGACCTACGAAGTTCAGTAGAAACTTGATCTGAAGTTTCATGATCATCATCATTAACTTCCTCTCTAGTCGGTACAGGCACCTCAGGAACATTTTCTTGAGTTGCGCCATTTTCCGGTTCAAGAGGTAATACTTCATCAAGTTCTACTTTCCTCTCACTTATTTCTTTCGAGAGAAACTCCTTCTCTAGAAAGGATCCATTCTTGGCAACAAAGATCTTGCCTTCGGATCTGAGGTAAAAGGTATACCCAATAGTTTCTTTAGGGTATCCTATGAAGACGCATTTTTCCGACTTGGGTTCGAGCTTTTCAGGTTGAAGTTTCTTGACATAAGCATCGCATCCCCAAACTTTTAGAAACGATAGCTTAGGCTTCTTCCCAAACCATAATTCATACGGTGTCGTCTCAACGGATTTCGACGAAGCCCTATTTAAAGTGAATGCGGCAGTCTCTAAAGCATAGCCCCAAAATGATAGCGGTAAATCGGTAAGAGACATCATAGATCGCACCATATCTAATAGAGTGCGATT